AGCCATCGGCTGTATATGGATCCCAAATAACAGCTCCATACTCAAGAAAAGAGTGGACGAGAGCAGAGAATAATATTTTAATTGAATTTCCTAATCGAAAGTCTGTGCTCAATTGCATGACAAACCCGACAGATTTCAAAGCTATACAGCAAACGTACTCAATATGGGGGCCTGAGTCAAGGTTATAACTTAGTTTGAAGCCAAGTTTCATAACACTATATCAACCTCATGGAAAATAATAGTGCCATTAAGGTTGTAGTAGAAGATAAACGGATAACGAGTTCTAATAAAAGTCATAACTTTAAATTTAGAGAGATTAAGTGACCAAAGAACTAATTCAATCACAAAAACGATTCAGATCGACTTTGATCTTTGAACAATCAAAAGTTGTGTTAATTGCATATACAGTTAAATATTTTCAGCAAAACAAAGTATATTACAGTTGTATAGTTACTCGACGAACACTATTAATAAATACGGAGAACAATAGAGGAGACAGATGGCCCCCTTTTGGGACATTAGACACTGTTGCGCAAAGATAACTAAAAATGTATCTAGATAAAGATAAAAAATAAAACACTATCTGGATAACAAAAAACATAACATTTTTTCATTTTTTTTCATTTACACTTTTTTTTTAAAATGTATACTTAAAAATTAAATGAAATGAAAATTAACTTAAATTTGATCTAATAGGTACCTCCAATATAAATAATAAAAAAAAAATATTTTTATTATGTACATTTATGTATGAGAAATAAGTAATAAATAATAAGTATCAAGTTTAAAAAAAAATACATTCTTTGTAGGTATATTATAATTTTATAAAACAATTCATTACAATTTATTTAATACATATTATGGAATAATATTTATGGTTAAGTATTAAAAAATTAATTCAACCTTTATCTGTACTATTTAATTCTCTTTCTGAGAAATCGAATATTTTAAGAGTTATTAGAAAAAAGTAGATTGAAGTCTTTATTAAATATGTAAAACAATCCTTAAAAATAATATTTATAGGCACAATTTAAATAATATAACTAAACATATATTGTAGTAACACAACTTATAAAATAATATTAATTAATTATAAAGTTAATAAATGAATGACATAAATAAAGTTTTCATTATTTTTAAATTTTTATTAATTTTTAACTTTTAAATTCAATTTTTCGAATAAATATACTCGTAATTTTTTATCTAGATGAATTATGTTAGATAACTCAATAATTTGTCGAAGATAATTTGTTAATTGTTTGTTAACTAATTTTGTTTACTATCAAGATAAGATAAAAGATTAATTAATTATTTATCTAGATAATTTATTTAGATAATGGTCAACACTGCCCTTAACCAATCTAAATGTATAATATGAAAGGTTACTACTTTAGGAATACAAAAACTAAATTATATATATAGAGCATGTATATACGTGCACGTATTTGCATAAACAAATAGTAAATAATTAGTATATTTATTAATGATTCGCGTCACTTGGTTTAACTATTGGTCTCTCAAATAATATTATATGGCCATAACAAGGGACATGTTATCTATTGCAACTTGAATAATTTCAACTTGGGTACAACTAGTGATTTAATTTAAAACCTCGACCACACATAAGAGTTATAAATAGTTTACAATACAAATACACTGTTAAAGAGATATATGGTATGCCAATGGGTTTTATTTGATACTACATGGAAAATGTCTACAGTCAACCTTAACACATTGTATAATATTTACTTGTACCATAAAAATCAAGTATTAAATTAAATTAAAAGTTTTTGAGCTATAGTTTGATCTTTTCATCTCACTTAGTGCTAAATACTTTTTTTTCAATTACACCTGTGAATTGAAATATAATTTCAACTTAAGTAAATTCATAGGATTTTCGTGTGATTGTATCTTCATTGAAAAAATTGATTAAAATAAATGTGTACATATTTGATCTTATATTGACTTATATATTGACTCTAATAATAAATGCATTATTTAAAAAGGATGAAACTAGATCGAATAAGATAAAGAGATAAATAAATGGTATTACTGTACTGATATATTTACATGAAATAAATGCATCATTGCTCGCGAATAAACAATTCTGAGTGAAAGGGGTTAAATGGATCAGTTTATAGTTTTTAAGTTGGTTAATATACTAAAAACAAATTTCTGTATTTGGTAGTTCGACGTTTTGGTGTTCTAAATATTGCAAATAAGGCATCTAAAATCGAAAATGTCATATGTCAGTGCTTATAAAAAACACAAATTTCATTAAAATATTTCGAGACTAAGAAATGTTTATAACTAAATAACTAATAAGTTTTAGTATAAATTCATTAAAATTTAATGTTGTAAAGCTCATAAAACATTAAAAAATGTTTAAAAAAAAAGTTAGGGAAAGTTAAAAAACTTACAAAAACAAATTTCTTATGAAAATTCATATATTAAATTTTCATTAAATCAAACTGTATGCATTTCTAATATAAAAATATAGGATATTTTCGTAATTTTTATTGTTTTATCAAAATTTAATATTCAACCGCTAATAAATTTTATTATATTTATTTAAGCTTATTTTCACCATTAAACAATAATAAATAATTATGTACTACTTCATATTACATTTTCAATACTTTTTGTCCGACCAAAATTATTTTATCGACATTCTCAATTTGCTATTAATAGCTCAAAAACCTTTGAAAATTAGATAATCGATATCAAACGATGTTACAAGCATTCAGTGAAAATATCATGTTTCTATGATTATTTTGAATTATAATGAAAAAAAAAATCGATTTGGTCATAAACTAGTTAAACTTGTAACACCTTTCATCTGTTTTTTACAATTACGAAAACGGTTGAAAAATTGGCAAAATTTATTCCTCCCTTCCTATATAGAAAAAGCCAACTTTACTTCGTTTCCTATTAGAAACCTTTTATGATTATGATAATTACAGAAATCCTTTTGGTCGAAATCGTATACACAGATACAAAAAATAAAAATTAATTATTAAAATACAAGTTATAGTTAACCTAATAGCTTCATCGTTTCACTAAGAATCCGCATAATTAGATTAAATTATATACAAACTATTTATTTATACTAATAAGTAATATATTTATACCTGAATCATAAATTATTGTGAATGAATGCTTCATTGGAACTTATTAGATATTTTTATTTTGTAATTATAACAATATAAAGCACTAATATAAATAAATATAATACATATCCAATATTCAAAGCTAATTATATGTTATCCATTTTTATTTTTATTTTATTGCCTGTGTTATTTTATTTGTAATTACAATTTAAAATTCTAAATGACTACACATTATATAGAGTAATGTTTTTCATATTTCTGAATACACTAATTTTATACATTTTAATTGTTAATATTTAATAATTGGTAAGTACTCGTAAATATTTTGCAGAATTTATTTAGAACTTAATTATGCAAAATGATTAAATGCTTTGTCGTATGTTGTTCAGTAGTGACTCGTAGTGAATTTTCTGGGGAGACTTAAATTATTCAACATAAACTTCATACAACAACGAACAAAAAAAACTCTTTTATTGGAAACTTAATTATACTTAATACCTACTTCATTTAATACTTAGTTAATATTTTTAATTAATAATAATAATAATAATATTTTAACTTAATTTAATGATACATTTTTTTATAATCTAATTCAATTTTGGAATTTTTTGTTATTTGTGAATTTCGTAGATGACGGTGTACAACGACTAACGACGGCGTGATGGCATAGAAATTATTGTCGTGAACTAAGTTTTAATAGCGTCTATAATACGCGGATTATTCTTCCCGGCCCCCTCCGTCCAACAAGCTAAACTATTACATGTTACGATTGAACCTCTCGGACATCAGATTCACTGAAATAGCGACCGTTGTCAAAATTACTAAAATAGTGTTTCCATTCAAATAACTATTTATAGGTTTTATATTTTGTGGCCTTAAATTTATAATAACAAATATAAAAAACGCTATAACATATTTTAAATAAAATTAAAAATATTTCTATATATATTTTTAAATAATTATTTACAAGTCGGGTATTTTCAAGTATTTACAAGTGGGATAAATGAAAATAGGGGTAATTGGAAACGATATTAATTTCTTATTAATGTGTGGTGGTAACTTATATCCAACCATATAAAACCAATATACACTAGCCTACGGACATTATTTTATGATAATAGATTTAATGTTTGAGGTAATGTAACAAAAAATATTATTCCAAAACAACACTATACATTTTCCTAATTACAGTTTTATAACGACACGAACTAAACATCGGAACGTCAGAAAAAATGTAAGTACACATTTCTAACTATGTAAGCAAATAAATATGTAATATCACCGAATGTAACGCACACAATATGGAGAGAATTAAGCAGCAGATATCTTATCACCTGGCAGAATCACTTAGCCCCAAACCTGACAATATCGTCAAGCTCTGCCAATTCCTCACAAATACTCACCTCATCAACCTCTTATAACCAACCTGCACCAATCTATTTGTTTATTTTATGTATTAAGTTAAAAAAAAAATTGTAACGTCCAATGGCCATAGAAGCCGTGGATATATCATATAATAAAAAAAAAATATATATATATGTAATATAACAATACAATAATAGTCTAAAGACATATAATATATAAAAAGTTTACATAGTTATACATGGTTTAGAATTTCACAAAAAAATTGAGGCTGGGATAAATGTGAATACTTATTTTTTATAATTATTTTAATATTTGTTAATATAAATGGAATCAATTAATTTAATGTTGGTCATTTTTCTAATTTAATAACTATATTCATACAAATATTGAAAAAAATACCTATTGTTAAATGTTTGGCTATTATTGTATTTATTAATTTAACCTATTACTTAGTTTTTTTTTTTTTTTTTTTGTACTTAATTGCATTTTATTTGTATTAGCGTTCGTAATTATGTTAGGAAAACCATGTTACTTCCTAACTATACATGTGTAGAAATTGATAAGGCAGTGATCGCTGTGACAGCTAAACGTAAAACCTATACGGAAGTATCAGAGGAGTTTGGAGTCCCGAGGACAGTCATATTTAACCGTATAAAAGGACAAAAGACTCATATTCATAAGCAAAGTAAAGGACGATCCACATTGTCACTAGAGGTAGAAAATATTATTGAAAATTCTTTGATAGCTCGTGCTGAGATGGATAGGGTATCCATGTGATCAAGAAGAATTAAAAGAGTTAGTAAAAGAATATTTAAAAATAATAAATTGGTGACGTCATTTAAAAATAGTAAGCCTGGTGAAAGTTGTTATTATGCATTTATGAAGAGACATCAAAATATGACATATAAAAAGCCAGAACAACTCCAAAAGTTGAGAAAAGATTCAAGGAAATCTGAAATTATATTTGTATTTTACTATAAATTAGAAAATGTGTGTAAAAAATATAATATAACAGATAGTTGCTGTGTTTAACTATTGATATTTGAAATTAAAAGTCTGAAGAATAATTAGTTTTTAATAGCTTAAAAGATAAGTGATTTTTTTTTTTTATTCTGTGTAAGTTTAATATTTATGTCTGATATTAAGTTTGAAATTGATTAATTTACTGTTTTGTTTGAAAAAAAAATTAAAAATTATAATAAATAAAAAAAAATGTGTTATTTTCATTTGCCCCAGGTCTATAACACATAAAAAAATTAATAAAATTCCCATTTGCTTCTTAGATACCATGTAATATGGGGCAAGTGGAAATATGTCTACTTCATGCATTTAAGTGATATAAAATAAATGCTAATGACAAATATATTTAAATGCCCCAGAGATCATTCCTACAAATAACATTCTAACAAATTTGTTTGTTTTCATTTACTCCGAAAAATATGTTTTATCCTATTTTGATGGGGCGAATGAAAATGGACATTTTTTTGAAAAATATTAAGTACACTGAAGTTTCAATTGCGACATTGTCATAACTAAAAGTGTTCTAATTAGATCATAATGCAGAAATCGCCGAAAATTGTCATGACAACAAATAATTGTATAAAATAAGTAGAATTTAGAAATATTGTTTCCAATTACCCCACTTGACCTTAGCTGTTTTTTTTTTAAGGGGAGACGCAGTCTCATAGTCTCCCTTGACAAGCAGCCCCTGATGTTATTTACATTTAACACAAATTACGTAACAAAATAACTCAATATTTAATATATATTTATATACAACTACATTATTTTGAAAACAATTCTGCTAGTTTCTATTGGTGTAGTATAAATATTGATTCTTAATGCACTAATTCACAATTGTCATCCAAATATTATTTTCATTTTTTATATTATTCATCGATTTTTATATCGATAAAAAAATAAAGAAATATATAAAATTACAATAATAGGCTAAAATCTTAAATACTTTGTACTAATTAGTAATATTTACTTAACAATTAAACTTGTTGATTTTAGTAACTATAATGTTCAATATAATTTAAGTGTAGGCCAAGAAGACAATTTGTATGGTTAAATATTTAAATTATAATAAATTAAATCTATATCTATCCAAATATATTCAAATATCAAAATATTCGGATATATTCGGATAATCGTATTCTGATATTGTACGATATTTTTATGAGACATTGTTATCAATATATATATATAATTATTTTTAATTTATTAAAATGAAGAATTAATTAAAACAAGTTAATAAATATGTTTATTTAAATTAAACTTCCACAGCTCAAAATGAAAAAAAACTAAATAAATTTAGTCTCCGAATGAGTGAAAACGATTGAACTTCATACGTTATTGTTTACATTATTTGTACGGACAATATATGATTACGATATCTCGTTAATGACTATTATTGTTATATTATACCTACTACCAGTTTGCTATAATACGTAAGCCCCAGTTTCTCATTAAATTCGAAATAAAAATAAATACTTGATTAAATATATTAAAAATAAAAAATCAGAATACTATTTAATATTGAAATATTCGAGTATATTTATATCCAAATACTACGGATATTCGGATATCTGAATATTATGGATATTTGTGAATATTCGGATTTTGTAATTTAAATTATCCTGATATCTTATTCCGGTTATACGAATATTTAAGAAAACCGAATATATGTCCCAACATTAATGCATACATGAGTTAATTATACCATTTTTTTATATTTACTAGTTTTAGCTTTTAAATTTAAATCCTATTTTATTTGTTCAAAATATATTATTTATGTAATGCTAATATTGTATTATCGTAACCACATAATGTATTTTAATATTGGTTTTGTATATAGTGTCTCTTGGCAACCCACAATGTGACCAATTCACTTACATACGTGTAAAGTTGAATAGCAACATAAAATATTATATTGTATTTATACGGAAATTTTTTAACATAGTAATTTATTGTTTGTTTTTGACATAATGTGCATAACATTTGAAAAATATAATAACTAGAGACAAAATATTAAAATGCAAAATAATAAATAACACTTTTACAGTCCTTAGTATTTTTAAACTCTGCATTTTAAAAATAACCGGAAAACTTTTTTTATCTTATTTTAATATTTATAGCGTATGTTAATTTTCGATTTTTTTTTATTCCAATGGTAATAGTTTTTTTTAAAATAAGTTATTTATTCAACTAAGCTAACATGGTACATTCTTTATTTTTACCATTTTTTTATGATTATATGTTGTAATTAATAAAACAGCTATATTTATTATAAGTATATATATAGGTAGTAATTTGTATATACTTTAATAAAACTCACGAATATATAAAAACTTTATGCAGAAAATAATTTAAACTTTTGTTGGATTTATTTATATGTAACGTTGAAATACATTTTCAATTTTAATTGTAATTTCATTTACATTTTCAAATTATTTAATTATTTTAAAATAATATATATGACAAAAAAAATATCAAATTTAATTATTTCATTTATATTTAACTAAGTATTATTTACTTAGAACTTCTTCAAAATTTGTTAGTTAATATAATAATATGTAACAATTAAAATTACAGTAAAAACTGTTTATTATTGCTTCGACTATAATTGATTTATTATTTAAAATTAATATTTATAAATTTAATAATAACAAGTCTTCTAAACAAATATGACTTGGATTAAAATGTTATGCTCGAAACACAAATGCTGCTTTTACATCTACATATTTAAATCTATCTCCGATTACAATTAATCCCATTATTTTTCCATAAGTTCCTGCATGGGGAGCGGAGAACCATTATTCCAGGAATTTTTTAAAACTAAATTTAAAAGTATGTTATTTCATAACATAATTATCATAATTTAAAAAAATATTACAAAATATTTAAAGAATTACATATTATTTCGTGTTTTTTATTTATGAGCACCTTAAATATTAAAAAATATTAATCAGATATTATCTATTTAAACCAACGGTGGTGTTATTTTGATAAAACTTCATTGTATACTACATTGTATACATTGTATATATTATAACATAATAAACCTACACATATTAGGATCTTATGTAATGAAATTAAATTGATTACTTTCTTTGAAGTCATATAAAAAGAAAAATACTTAAGGTGTATTAAATCTTAAACTTAAACATATATGCTTTATTTGTCTTTACATTTTGACCTAGCCCCAGGAGGGATTTAATTATACAATGTTTTACAGGCTTTACACCCTTTAAAATGAAAAAAATAATTTAAAATAAAAATTATTACAAACATAAATCATTATATACTGGACTTAAATAATATGATTTTCTATGATAAATTCAATTACGATTTAATGACACTAATTTTATTATTTATAATTTATATAATAATCACAAATACATATTAAGTGAATGGGATTTTAAGCATGTAAATTAATTCAGGGATTTTGTTCTTATCTTATGCTAAACAAACAAAAAATTCTTGGAAATACTATTTAAATTATACTTCCATAAAAAAAATGTTTTTAGCTGCAACAATAAAAATTTTTATATTTGTTGTTACTCTACCAGTTACAGTAGTAATACAAAAAAAAAAAAAAAAAACGTTTAGTTATTCTCTGTTTTATAACCTACTTGAAGAATACCATGAATGAATCTCGTTTAAAAGGATAGTAGTTGCCAAGATAGATGCTAAATATTAATTAAGATACTAAAACCAACCCAAAAACATTACTTAATTATTGTACTACAATATTAACAAAATAAATAAATATTAAATCATGTATTATAACTCATTCAAGTCATTGTACTATGGTTATAATTATATATTAAAATTATATTTATACTGTAATTATTATAACTTTTGTATAATTTTATTAATGCATTGTGTTCATAAATTAATAAAAATTAAAATGTTTAATAAGTGTAAGAACAAGATATTATTTTCTGAGCTAATTGTGTTGTGGCTTAAATATATAAGCCATTAAAAATATTACTTCATGTTTCCATTAAATACAATTAAAAATAAAACATTTTTAAATAAAATACTACTATCAATAAAAAAAATTTTTTTTTAGTAAAATTAAAATTGTAATAAATCAATTGTTTTTCTAAAAAATGTATAAACTATTTTATTCAAAACCATTATTGTGATTTAAAAATAAACACTCAATTTAATTTCATTACTCAACAGCCCAAATGGCTTTTTAAATTAGAGATTAGTAAAGAAAATATATTTCACTAAAAAATCAATTATATAATTAATTAAGGATTCACGGGACAAGGAATGAATATTTCAAGGAATAATAATGTCCTCAGGGGTTTTTAATTATTGACTTTCTCTATTCTCTATGCTAAATGTTTAGAGAGTAATAAAGAAAATATTTTATATATTTTTAAAGTAACGAGAAATTTTCTAGCTTATAAATTAATTCAATGAAACTAAGATTGCTTTATAAATTACTAATTTATAATAAAAAGTCATCTTTAATGAAATATACTTGTTTTTATAAGTCAATAGATTGATTAAATTTTTAGATTCTGAGTGAAACGAGAAAGTTATTGATTTTCTATCATGATAAAAATTGTAAAATTAAGCATAATTCGTGTTTTTCGAAATTTATTTTTTATTTATTTTTTGTATCTATGTAGAGGATTTCTACCAGTGGATTGCTTTGATTAT